ACGTTGTTGTTTTTATTATGTCAAAAAAAAATATTAAAAATCTTGATCCGGTGTTTTTTTTTAAATATCGAAAACGATTTACCCCCTCTCCCCCACCCCACCCCCCAATCATCATTAAAATTGAAACAAAACAACAACAACAACAACAACAACTTCCCTACAAAAAAAATACACATATGTGTATATAAATTCATTCGAAACTTTTCATAAATATTATGAAAATATTATTGTTTGTTTTGTTTTGTTTGTTTGTTTGTTTGTTTGTTTGTTTATTTCTAATATTTTACTTTAGGGCTTGAAACCGCGTATTGTTGTTGTTATTCGTTCGTTAATCATAATAAAAAAAAGAAACTTTTTATTTATATTTTTTTATAAATAAATAAATAAAAACTTTACGAGAAAACGAATAATAATAATAATAATAATAATAATAATGCCGTTTTTAAAAAAAAAAAAAAAAAAAGTAAAACGAATAAAATAAATAAATAAACGTAAACATAAACAAAATGTTTTTTATTGTTTAATAACGACTGAATTTTTAAATTCGACTCGATGTAAATAAAGTTACCCCCGCCTTTCCCACGCCACCACCATCCCCCATCCCGAAATTATCCGCGCGCTTACCCTAAACACAATTTTCCGGAAAGAAAATTTTTTATTATTATATTTTTAACGATTCGGAAAAACTTTTCGAGGGCCAATTAATAAACCGTATAATTTTTTTTTTTATTACGTTTTAATAACGTTTAAAATTTTTACGGTTTTGATTAATTTCGTTCGAATGGTACCCCCTCCCCTCCCCCTCCCCCCCAAAAAAAAAAAAGGAGAAGAAAGTGAGTTAGAACAGACACACATACAGTTAAGAAAAGAAAAAAAAAATTTTCTAACCTCGATTTAAAAAAATTCTTTTCTTCAAATTGTAGATGGAAGAAAATTTTCCTCGTCCATTTTTTTTTTTCTTCATTTTTTTATTCATTTTCCTTTCATTTTAGGTTCGCCATTAAAAATACCTTAAAAATACATCAAATTATTTTTAATTTTTTATAATTTTTATTTATTTATTTAAATTAAATAATTTTAATTTTAATTTATTAAATTTTTAAAAGTGCCTGTTAAATTATTTAATATTTAATTGCACAATTCAAAATATTCATTCGCATAATAATAATAATAATAAAAATTATAATTTTTTTATTATTTACATAAAAAAAAATTGAAACAACGTAAAATAAATTTTTTATCCTTCGATATAAATAAATAAATCGATAACTAACGAAAATATTTTTAAATAAATAAATAAATAAATTTTTTTTTTTAAAATGTATTTTTATTCGAGTTATAAATGTGAAATAAATTATTTTATAATTATGTATTAAATAATAATGATAATAATAATAACTAAATGTCGAATTTAAAAGTAAAATTTTAAATGTTTTATGTATAAGCTTGTGTCTTGTTTTTTTTTTTTTTTAAATTGATTTAAATAAAATCATGGGTTATGTTAGAACATTAAATAAAAAAAGTTATTAAATATTGAAAAGATATGTTAAATAATAATAATAATAATATTAAAAAAAGAAATGAGGGAGAAAAAGTACATTAAATGGTGATTTAAATAATGTTTTTACAAATCAAAATCATACTTCATGCGAAATTTAATTATTATTATTATTAACTATCGATAAAAATAATGAGTGTTAAATTAATGGAACCAATAATGCATTCCCATAATTATTATTATTATTATTTCTTTTATTTTAACTAATAAAATACAAAAATTGCTTTCGTATAATTAATAATCGTAGTAAGCTTTTAAATCTGATGTGAAAAATAAAAAAAAATATATATTTTTTGTATTTATGACAGTAAAAAATTATTTAAATTGTCAAATGTATACACACACACACACACACACAAAGCAAAAAAAAAAATAATAATAATTAAACTCGGAATTATTTAATTATTTATTTTTTTAACATCAAACATTGGCTGTGATTAAAACTAACATTAATTAAAAATGGGGGAAAAAAAAAAAAAATATTATTCTTTTTTGATGATTGTTTTATATTATTTTTTTTTGTAAAGAATATCTTTGTTTTTTTTTTTTGTTTTTGTTAATAGTAAATGAAATTAATTTGAAAATGTTAAAACTGACAAAATGCTATAGTTTGCCTGTTTAAATAATTAGCTTTATGCATCGAGTTTAAACTCGGTATGGTCCAAAAAACAATTAATATAAAATACCAAATAATTGTTAAGTGTTTAAAAAAAAAATAAGAAGAGTACTGAATTTTCTGTTATTTTTGATGTTTTTTACATGTGTACTTGTAAAATTTTTTTTTGTACACAAAAAGAATATATAATAAATTTTTAATGGATACTTAAACTTTTTTTAACTTCATTTAAACTGACCCTTTACTCATATAACGTTTTATTATTATTATTATTAATATTGATTATATTTAATTTCGAAAAATTTTAAAATAAATTTTTTTATAAAATCAATTTTTCAATTCATGAAATCAATTATTTATTTTTTAAAAATTTTATATAAAATTTTAAAGAATTAAAAAAATTAAAAAATTATCAGTTACTTGCATACTTGCTTTTGACATGTTTTTTATAATGAAATACAGTCGAATTTATAACCGGGTGCCATTAATTGCATCGTAGACATTATATGTTTGTAAAAATGATTCTTTTTAAGAATTATCACATTGTAAAAAAAGTTAAGAAATACATTTGAAAGCCCTGTTTGAATAACTTATTAAAATAAAAAAACTTTGGAACGTAATAACTTTTGAGTTCTGAACTCACCAGTGAGGCCAACATACTTTTTAAAGAGGAAAAACTTATTTAACAAAAATTAGTGTCAATAAATAAACAAAGCCTTCTTAATAGTTATGAGAGTGGCAGGAAATATTAATTTGAAGTATCTCGGAGGCTTCGCTGAAAGGAATTATTCCGACCAATGACATCTCTTGCATCGCTAATGTGACATGGCGTCTCAGAAGAAAAATTACAACTTATAAATATCAGTTAATGTTTTATATATGACAATTGAGAAGCGAGGAGGCTAATATTTGAAGCCACTCATTTTTTTCAGAGACTTGCATTGATGGTAATGCATGCAAGGAAACCTCAACGGATAAGCGATGGGTACGCATCTATTTATATTCGTGTAGGCTGTCAGCCTCCGATCGCCATATTTAACCCGAATTTTGACACAAAACTATTATAAATTTGTTACATCTCATATTTAATTGTATTTTGTTTATCTTTATGTTTATAGGTATTTTGAGAAACACCAGGCCCATCCCTATCAGGTAATGTAGTGGCTTTGAAGGGTATGACTTACACCTCTCGATCGTCCAAACCGAAAAACTACACTATTCTTTCCTCCATTTTGAATTCCCTGATTTTACCTTGAAATCTGATAAAACATTTTTTGGAAATATACAAACATCTTTAAACGTTGCTAATGTTTACCCAACTATATTTTATAGAGGTAGTTGAAATCTTCGTAACTTGCATTGAGTAGTAGGCATAAGAACGATATATTTAACCCATATCCCATTTTAAAAATGTTATTTTTAAATAACAAGTCAAAATTTTTGAGTTTTCTATGTGTCTTCCTAACAGTATAAATCTCTTTTAAAGCATTTTCAAAAGTATTAGATTAATGTTTTCTTTTGTATTTAATTTATAAACACAAGTTGTTTAAATTCCACTAGTAATTTTCTGTTTTAAAAAAAAACTAAGTTTTTGATCAGTTTTATGTGTTCTTAATAAAAATTTTACTTTATTTTAATACATTTCCTATATGCTTTCCAATCATTAATTGAGTTTATCCTTTGAATTTTAATGCACTATGAAATTTTTATCCTTGCAATCGTTTCATTCCGCCCCAAAAATTTAATAATTTTGTTTTATTTTAATGATTGATAGAATTCCAAATATGGTAGTTCAAAGGGAAATTATGCTGAGAGATACAACCATGAGAGAATTAGAGATTCACCAAATGGAAATTCATACAGGTCAGATAGCCCAGATTCTGACAGCCCGAGAGAGCGAAGCTATCAAAATAAGATCTATGTGCAGAAAATTCGTGAAAAGGAGAGAGATAGAGACTATAAATCATCTAGGGACAAATATTCAGGTAAATTAGATATAAACAATTAATTAAAAATAATATTTCCATCCTCAAGCTTAGCATACAATAGTAAAGAGATTTTTAGTGTAATGTTTATTACGTGCATATTAATTATTACGTTTTTTCTCTAATTTTTTTTGTGTCTTTTTGACACTACATATTTTATTATGAATTTTTTCCCTGTTTGAAAATTAATATATAATCATAGTTTTTATTAATAAAATATAATATTTATGTTATAGAATGTACAAGGTCACCTAAAGATAAAAGAAACAGAGAAATCAGAGATTTGGAATATAGAACAAATCATGACCGAATTAGTGGAGAGGAAAAGGAGAGAATATCCAGAGTTGGTGATTGGTCTGAACATGTGAGTTCCTCAGGCAAAAAGTATTATTATAATTGCAAAACTGAAGTTTCCCAGTGGGAGAAGCCCAAAGAATGGACTGAAAGGGAACGTGGGAGGTATAAGGAAAAGGATAGAGATGTTGAGAGGAATTATACTAGCAGTTCTAGGCTTGGTAAGTAATTTAATATATTGTTATTAACCGTTAGATTATTGAAAGTCTTTCAATTACTCAAACATTGCATATGCTTGTTAAATTAACATTTTTATCCATTTTAAAAGTTCATATAAATAGTAAATATACAAAGTCTATTAATATAAAAACTTTAAAAAAAAAAAAAAAAGGAATTACGGAAAGTAAAGTGATTTTTTTTTTTTTTCGATGTTCAGGACATGAAAAACATTCCAATGCTCGTGCCTCCAACAGCAGCGTCCGAGAATCATCTTCAAAATCAAATCGTCAAGTAGAAAAAAGGGAAGAGTTTTGGAATAACATTTCCGGAAACAGAGAAACAGGGAAGGAATCTGATAGGGTAGAAACTCACGAGAGAAGAAAAGTCACGGATGGTGAAATAACGTCTCAGGACATGGATATTTCTCCCGGAGATAGCACCCCTACGTCCGAGACGAATTATAGTCACTCTTCTTCGAGAGCAGAGGGAACCCCCGCGGTGACTAATGTACTTTTAGCAAATGCTTTACCGCGATTAGCGTCACATCCCATCGCGACCACGGCTCCTTCGAACTATTCACCGACTTCTTCCTCACTACCGATTTCATCCAATGCACCGCCCACGGCAGTAACAACTTCTAACGTACCGGGACCGCCTATTGGAAATTTAAGAGTCATCACACAAACAAAAATAACCGAGCAAAGAGATGCTTTGTCTCCTCAAAAACAATCAACTATTCAGACTCCCGTCATTCAGTCGAATGTGCCCTTGCAGGTGGACACGACAATGGCTGGATTCGTCGGAGGAGAAGGTCCTCCAACACCCACACATTCAGAAACTCAGGACGGTGTTGATCCTAGAAAAAGTTAGTCATCACACAAAATTTATTTTTTAATATTATTATTTTTTTAGCACATAAAGTATGATCGAAATGATAAAGAAAAAAAAATAAGATTTGATAATTGGTATTTAAATTGAAGAATGATTTTAATAATGAAATCGTTTATTAATCATTTTCCAGTGACAAGCCCTCCGAATAGTATAAGCTCACTTCAAAATTTATCTCAAGCCACAAACGTGACTAGCTCGCTACAAGCTCTTCGACAACAAGGACCTAATTTAACTCCAAGCTTAGCCAATTATTATCGTGATGATTTGGTCAACCACGTGAGAGGTTGGCCGGCGGACATATTGGAAAAGCAATCGCAAAAGCTGTCGGAAGAAGCGCACGCGATGACGAGTCTCCAATGCACTCGAGTATCTGCCGAATTAAAAACCGCCAGGTCCATCGTAAGACTAACGGAAATCCAAGCTACGTTGCAAGAGCAAAGGTGAGATTTGTTGTGTCGACCATCTTTGAAAATCACAGACGAAGGATTTAAATAACAACAATAATCATTTTTTTTTTTTTTTTTTTTAATACTCTTTTTTAGAATACTGTTTTTGCGCCAGCAAATAAAAACTCTCGAAGAGTTAAACACGCAGCATTCCTTCATGGGACACGATTCATAAATATGGAATAAAAAGGACATCAACGGTTTCTTCTTTTTTGTCATTCAGCGCTGACGGTAAAGTTGAACACAACTTGTTATCGACACCACCAACCATATTTCCTCGCGACCTTTATTTTATATAATATTATAATTTAATAAATTATTATTATTATGATTTCGTAATGAGGGAAAAGATAATTTTTTTCTAAAAGGGCTCAGGGTTTTTTTTTTTTTTTTGTGGTTAACATTGAAGAAGAAAACATTGATGATAAGTAGGAGGAGGTTCTTTTCGCCATTTTTAATTTTTAATATTTTTCCCATCTATCAGGTTTTGTCTATAATAATAATAATAATTATTATTATGAATTTGCGTAAAATTTAATTTCGAGCAGAAGACGCATTTTTTTTTTCTCCTTCTCTTTATTTAATTAATGTCATTCTGTATATAATTTTTGTTTTGTTTTTTTTTTAAAATAATTGTGACTTTTTATACATATTTAAATAGAAATATAATAATAATAATAATAATAATAATAATAATAATAATAATAATAATAATAATAATAATAAATTATG